GAATATCATGGGCTGGTACTTTATCTACTACCTCTCCTATAGAATGTTTCTTTTTCTTCGTCCTCAGCTTCATTAGTCGGTGCGTAACATTAGATGATTGTAAGTTTGGCATGTTTCCCCTTAAATTGCGCTGTCATTATTCTTTCATTAATTGGATGCCAATCGATGAGATGTTTGTGTATACCTTTCTTTAAAATGAGTGCTACGCCTGCAGAATGTAGGTTATCATCTCTACCAGAGTATATTACGGTTTCTCCTGTACCTGTTGTGGATTGTCCAAACCCTGTCCACCAGCTTTCACTGATTCCAAGAATATGCAGTTTACAGTTCTGCATTTCTTTAATTACTTGGGCGGTTTTGGCCGTTTCAAACATGGTTCTTACATTCCAGAAGCCAATTCTTATTTTGGTTTTAACATCCAGCAGACTTGTTTTCCCATCATGGGCTTCCTTTCGGCTTTCACCCATGCTGTTCATGCTGACAGAGGGACTCTGTCCCAAGACCACCGGACGTTTAGAGCACTTATTTCCTCTTGAAGTTTCAGTAACGTTGTAGTTTTTTTTACAGGGTAGAGCTGGCAGAATTTTGACATTTGCATATGATGTTTTTGTTTACAGGAAGGGGAGAAATAGCAATCAAATAGCTGGAGAGTTTTTCAAATTCAAATTCTCTTTCTTTGACCACTTTCAGCTAGGTCCGTTCACATTTCTGCTCACTTTCCTTTCAGCTATATTTGTGGTGACGTTTTCTGGTCGCGATCTTATTTGATTCTGGATTGTGTTCAATATTGTCACTTTCTGTTTGTTGTGGTTTCCGCTCTTGCTGTTGTTTTTGTAATCTGGCTGGCCCTGTGCTGCGCTCAAGATGATTGGATGTTGGATCGATTTATTGTGGTATTCCTTGGCTGTTTGTTGTTTCCGGGGAAATTAGATTGCCTATCCTAATAAGGACCGGCGGTCGATTGACTTGGGCAGGTACTGATGGCTATACTGCTGAGGTCTGGTATTATTTGGTGATTTTCTCGTATCCTTGTTGTAAAGTACTGCTCCTACATAGGGTTTCGGTAATTTGGCCTTGGTTGTGTCGTATCTGGTATTAGTGTTTGGGGTAACGGTGTCGACCTCGTTTGACTTCAAATTTTGGCTGTCGATGTGGTTCCTCTGGTGATGACCAAAAAACATCATCATCCTGCAGTTCTGAGTTATAGAAGTTCGGGTCCTCCATCTCCATGATGCGTTGGTTAATTTGGTCAACTGTTGCCAACGGAAACTGTTTCATCAGCGATGCCTGAGTTTTCTTATCTGGTGTTTGATGCGGCTTTTTCTGGGTCTCGGCTCCCTGTATTTGCTGCCCTCTTGTTGCCTCTCTCCGCGCCCTCTCTCCCTCCTCCATCACTCCGCCGGCCGCCCGCAGTTCCCCGTTAAGTCTGCCGCCTTCTTCGCATGCTCTTCGTAACCTTTCCCCTGTCTCAGCCAGTGCCCTCTTGACCATTGCGACCTCCCTCGCGAGAAGCTGTTGGCCATCCCGCAGACCACTGATGCCCGCCCCGTCTTCCCTTGCCCCAGCTGGCCGCTCCCTTTGTGTCTGGATAGTGGCCAGTGCATTCATGATGTCCTCCTTGAATTTCGTCATCTCTGCTTCTGGGTGTCAAGAGTCGCCTGCATTATAGCTCTCAGGCCTGCCATTTCATCTCCGTCTTCATCTCGTTGGGTTTTGGATGCGTCTTTCTCGTCTCTGAGAGCTTGGATGTCACTTTTGAGCTGAGCCACCCCGCCGCCCAACCTGGTGGTAATGGCTGCAGTTATGCCCTGGGTTGCCTCGTGTCCTCTGCGGGCCCCATGGCATGGAATCCCATCCCGTATGGCAGTGGTTGCAATTTCTCTACATTGTTGCAGATAGGGGCACCCCAGGTACCTGGTGCTGTGCCGGCCGTAGCAGTCGGCGCACTTTCTGTTCGTATTGGGTGACTTAAAGTCTGTGTCCAGCTTTGCCAGCGGGCAATTGTTGAAGGCATGGTGTTGTGAACAGTATCGGCATACTTCATGTTCGCTCACACAAGTGGCCCGGGAGTGCCATGCTTTTTGGCAACGAGAGCACTGGATCACCTGTGGCACGTATTGCTCTGGTCTTTGCATTCTTTGATCTAGGTAGACTTTATCCGGGATGTTTTCTCCCTCCGATGTTATCACCGCCACTGGCAATGGATGCCGTTTTGAGCCGTCTCTCTGCTTGGTTGATGTTGACATTGGGGTTTTCTTTCCTTATTTGTTGCAGAATTTCTTCGTTGCTCCATTGCAGGTTGACTCTTCGGATCACCCAGCGTCTTACATTCTGGAAATGGTGGCCGTCACAGTTATCTCCTCGGATAGTCGGAGTTCTTTCTTGCCGTCGTGTTGGATGTCATCCAGCATGTCTGAGGTGCGGTTGGTTCTGTTTAGTGAAGCTATCACTCCTTCTCGAGTTCTCCTAATCTTTGCGACTGCCCTCTTGCCTAACATGATCTCCAGCATATTGATCAATGTTAGCGTTGCCAGTGTAGTGATTGCTGTCCGGCCCGAGTTGGTCTGTCGTAGAAATATCATAGCTGCCTGTCTTTCGTCGATCTGGAGATGTTTGTGGACTTGGCTGTGTTGGTTCAGGTGACGCTGGGACGTCACTCAGGGCCTCACTGGTAGTAGGGGCGTCTTCCTGTGGTTCGGTAGTATCTGTCTGCGTCTTCCTGGCCTCCGAGTTAGATCGGGTAGATCTGTCAGTGGGCTGTTTCCTCTGTCCGTTGCGCTTTCCGTTAGGTTTGTTTCTCCGAGACATGGTGCTTGCGGAGAAGGCCTCTCGCTCTGGCTAATGCTTTTTATTGTGTTATGTAGGTTTCAGTCTTATCTGATGACAATTGCGGAGAAGTCCTCTCGCTATGCCTATCCTCAAAGGGACCAGCATGTACTGTATTGCGCCGGTATCAATATCTGGTGACTATTGCGGAGAAGTCCTCTCGCTCTGCCTATCCTCCAAGGGACCAGCATATACTGTATTGTGCAGGTATCAATACTATCTGATGATTGGCTGATAAGGTGGAGCCGAAGCTGCTGTGTGCCGCGCCGGGAAAGGCCGTGCAAATAAGCTGGAGAGTTACAGGCAACAGCTGATAAAGTGATCGACTGGTGTATTGAGATGAGTGCTGTAATCAACCCAGAAAAGGCAACCGTCCTGTGGTGTTCTTTGGACATCAGGATTGTTAGAACTGATGTTCCCAGACTCAAAATAAATGGCAGGAGCATCAAAAGAGACAGCCGACTGCGGTACCTAGGAATCACCTTTGACAGAAGTTTGTCTTTCAGGGATCACATAGAGGGGGTTGTGACAAGGGCTCAAAAAGGTCCTAATGCACTAAAGATTATGGCAGGGATGGACATGGAGCAGACAATGCTGTTCACACTCTACCAGCACTTAATCATCTCAGTGATTGATTGTGGACTGGGGTTACTCACTGTCTCGAAGAGTCAGCTAGAGAAACTGGAGCGCATACAGAATGAAGCTTTGCGGCTGATCCTGGGATGTACAAGAGACACCCTGTTTGTGTGCATGCGATACATCTATAGCACTGTCGACTATTGTAGATAGGTTAAAGGTGCTGCAGGCTAAGTCATACCGAAGAGTTGCTGCAGACAGGAAACACCCTCTGCATGAAGCTTTGGCTGCAGGCAAGGGTCAGATGCTGAAAAAAAAAATCGTGAATGGCTTAAGCAGAAGACACAATAAGACAAGTATGCAAGCTGAAGAACATTGGGCGAGGAGAGGAGGGTGAGAGTACCAGCGGAAAAGTCTGACCTGTGTAGGGTTATTATAACATTAGGCCGGGTGTGCAGAGAGTGGCCAGCGGGTGCTACGGAGGTTGAAATCCAACAATTGATTCACGCCCAGGTGATCTATCTGTACATATGGTTTAGTGTTGAGAGGAAAGCGAAGTACCTGGTGGTTCGTAGCGAAAGTTAATGAAAAATCTTTAGTGCAAGACAGCCTAGTATATGACACCACAACATCTAGCATGAGAATGGAGGTGGAGGCGGTAACGGCAGCTCTCCGGTGGCTACGACATATCGTAATTGTAACAGACTCTGAAGACATGCTGAGAAAGGTGAAGACAGTGATGCTTTGAGCAGAGTGGCTAGCTTTACTGAAAAGGTCACGGGTGGTGAGCATACTTTTGATCTTTTCTCCAGGCTATGCAGGCGTAGTAAGTAGTGAACAGGCAGACAGATTAGCTGGATCCGCATCACTGGGTGGTGAACTGATACATGACAAGGCAGATGTGGTCAAGGCCTTTTGGGAATAATCAAAGGAATCAGCACAGAAAGAAGATTATTATGGCCTGGAGAGAATGAGGCACATAGGGGTAACCAGAGGATCTGGCCGGCTCACTACACTCCGAGGAAAGGCAAGACGGACTTTTAACCACATTGTTAACGGTTCCATCTGTGATGGAGCTCTGCGCTGGCTGCTTAAAAGAAGAGGACGGAGCATGCATGGGAATGCCCCGAGTGCTGTGATGTCAATTTTTGACTCAACTCAACTCATTTTTATGTTGTCTGGTGTGTTCTTACATCGCTCTACTTCTTTCTATGAGTGCCGATCAATACACTGTCTTTTACTTTATTAATATACAATAAGCAGGCGTGTGTTTGTACAGGTGTGTTAGGGTAAACATTCTGGCCGGCGCCGTACACTTAGTGTACCTGTGAAAGTTACCGCCCTTGTTACCATTAGAACTGTGACCGGTCTCTTGTATGGCCGACTACTTCTAGTAGTAAAACAACAAACATTCGGCATTCACACAACTTTGTCACACCAGTGTGTTTGTCGACCTGTTTTCTGACTGATTAAGGAACCTAGAGAGAAGCTATGAACCAGGGATAGAGGTCTGTCTGTGAGAGAAGACGCAGGGAAACTTTGATTGTTGTGGAGTCAACCATCGTCTGGACGACAAAGTTGTTTGCCACAGATACAAGATGGCGAGCACTGGTCCCACCGTGCCGCCGCTTATCATGCGCATTCTGGCCGCCTCTGTCGCTGTCTCCCACCGGGCCGGCAATATTATCAGGGATATATTAAAGGCTGGAGACCTGGGTATTGTGGATAAGGTACGTGTGTCCGTTTGTCGATTGTTTAAGGCACGTTCTTTTAATACATTTTGAATGCAACAAGTTACTTTAACAAACGCCTTACGGTTGTTGAGTTGTCTCGTCTAAGAAAGACTCACAGTCACAACAATAACATTATCAGTTACCTGGGTAAACCTCAAGTGCTCACGATACATGACCAGTACATGAACGTAAAAGCCATTTGAGAATATGTAGAGTTTCACTGTCCGACTGCTTCACTACTTGTGTGGATTAAGCAAAGTCAGTAGGGCATACCAGCTGAACATGTTCATTCTGTAGGAAGGATTGTCCTCAGTACATTATTTTTAATGTAAAAATGTCCAGCTAAGATTAACACTTCTCTGTTTGACTTGTCCATGGTTGGTTGGTCAGACACCTATTTCAGCAGTGGAGACAGGAGTTACTAAAATATGAATGCAAGAGGAGCTTCATAGCCCTAGGAAATTTATGGAGGTCAAAAGAAATGAAAAATTTAACTAAACTTAAAATGTTTTTTATATCTTAAATTAAATTACTACTGCTGATTTGAGTGAAAACATGAACAGCTTCAATTGTACTGCACACATTCATTTACTGGTGCCTGCGCAAAATAGTGAGAGTTAAATGGTATGAAAGAATAATTAAAATGTGGAGCTTTGGGAGAGAACTAAACAAGTTCCAGTAAAGCTAGAGGTTAAGAAAAGGCGCTGGCATTGGATATAACACATGTTGAAAAACAAATTAGAATGCATTTGCACTGGAACCCACAAGGGGATAGACAAAGGTAGACCAAATAAAACACGGAGAAGGACAAAGTGGAAGGACATGCGGTGGGCTGTATGCGATTGCAAAAAATAGGACAACTTTGAGTTGGTTGAAGGCCTATGCTTCACAGGGGGTTTAGGGCAGAGGAAGGAGGAAGACTGAGAGTTGACTAGTCCACTGAAGCAGAACTAAAATTCCTAGTTGCATGGAACTGGTTGTATACCACTGCTGTGTGAAACAGGGAGGCTTAGTAGGTCTGAAGGCAAAATGGGCCTGCATGCCCAAATTGTGACCCTTTGAAAATAAAGTTTGTTTGTTCGTTCATTCAAATTAAAAGGGGACTCCAACATTTAGAGCTCATGAGATCTTTTGTACTTACTTTTTCCTTCCACGTATGCCGCTAAGCGTTGTGGGGAGATGCAAGTTCCTGTCATAAGCAAGGCGGGCAGCATCTGATGTTCTGAGGCCATGCTTTTGGCAGGTTTCGGAGACCCCGTCAATCCACCGTTTCCTTGGTCTTCCTCTTGCCTTATATCCTGAGCTTCTTTGATTGAAAATTTGTGATGTTATTTGATCATTTTTCATCCTGGTTAGATGTCCAAACCATTTCATTCTTTGATGTTCTATGTAGTCTAAACATGGTGTAGTTTTGACAGTGTTTCTAATGTCTATATTCTTTATCCTGTCTAGTCTTGTCTTATTCGCTGCTTTTCTTAGACATTTCATTTCACAGGCTTCTATTTTTCTTTCATGGGTCTTGTTGATTGTCCATGTCTGGCACTGGTAGCAGAGTGTTGGAATGAAGATGGTGTTTATCAATTGTGATCTTTTGTGAAAGTGTAATAATTATGGATATGGTTGTAAGAAATGAATAAACAAACTTTTTTTTTAAAGGGTCACAAATTGGGCATGCAGGCCCGTCTTATATTCGGCCCTTCCAAACACCTGTCTTTCACACTGGTTGTATTTTATCAATAAGCATGTTATATTCATATGATAATATGCATTTTATGATTATCAAGAAAAAAAAAAGCATGGCGGGTGAAATGCCCACACACGCTAGCGCACCCACACACACACACGCCTACCTACTCACTTAAACACGCATATATAAACACCCTCATACCTTCACACACACATAAACACACCCCCATTCACCCACATACATACCTACCTACCTACCCACACACATACATACATACATACATACATACATACATACATACATACAGATACACACAGGCACACCCACAGAAACAAACACACACACACAAACACACATATGCGCACAGACACACAGATACACACACATGCACTCACACAAATCTGCACACACACACACGCATACTCACACATACACAAACACACACTCAATTGCACCCGTACACTCACATACACACGCTGATGCTCACGCAGACACATACACATGCATGCGCAGACATACATACACACAGGTACACACACAGATACAGGCAGACACACACAAACGCAGAAACATATGCAGACATACATACACACAGGCACACACACGCAGACACACATACACTTACAAACACAGCAAAGACACACATCCAGCAAGGTCAGTTATTTTACTCATTAATTGGTACAATTTATTTGATAAATATTATACTACAGTTTTATTGTTCTCATTCTTTTTTCGCTCCACCCTTACCTTCTTTGCTGTTACTGCTTTTGCTTATTTAAGAGAGGTCTACGAAAGGATGTGTAATGTGCCTAAACCTGTTTTCTCTGTATAGTGTCGACAATAAATCAATCAATGTAGATGATTAGAGGGTGTGACCTTAACAGTATTACATTTGCAGATTGCCGACAGTGACCAGGACCTTCAGTGTTTAGCCAATGTTGTTTTTACAAACAGGCAATGGCTACCCTTAGAATACAATGTTAAGAAAACCAAAAATGACTGTTAACTCTAAGGAAAAATAAATACCACCATGTAACATCTAAGTAAACGTACAGATGAGTAACCTGGCACATCAACAAGAACAGTCTCCGAACACTTGTAACATCTGATGCAAGATGGCTTGTAGGGATTTCAGAGTAGCCTTTTGCAATATGAGAAAACTCACAAATAAACAAATGTCCCAACAAAAACTTCAAGTATTCAAGTACTTTACAGAACCTGTCACATGGCTACTTAAGTGTGTTTTCTCAGGGACCACAATCTTGGACAGTGGGGATTGTCATGGGCCCGAGCCCCAGCATAGAGAGATCATTAATACAGTATATGCAAGTGGGGACTGACCACGTTTGCCATGAAGCTGAAACTAGGATTGCCAAGATATAATACATTATAATTGGCAGTTGATCTGCGGGCCACTTGCTAGACTTCTCTGGGCCAGATTTGGCCCATGCGCCGAGTTGATTAGCCCTGACCTATATGGTTGCACACATGTGATTCAAGGCACATGGCACTAAAAAACTTCAAATGATGACAGAAATGTGGATTATGAGAAAAATAAAAACATGGATGAAAAGAAAACCAAATGAGGTAGTCCTTCAAGAACTTTGGTGACAACTAAATTGATTACAGACATTAATAAGGCTTAGACAATGACATATTTGTGGTCGTCAAATAAGGACACATGGATTTGAAAATGTGGTACCCGCTGGCATACTTGATGGGAAGAGAACAAGTGGAAAAAGAGGTGAATGCTTGAATAGCTTGGCTATATGCCGCCATCAGGGCAGACAACTCAGACCTGATCCCAGATAGTTGGTTGGTTGATTGTGTAAGATTGCCAGCAGTGGTTGCCAATTCTTGTTGGAATGACACAAGATGATGATGAAATACAGATTACCTTCACGAACAATTTTAATTAAAAAAAAATTAATAAATACAACGGTACAAGGCACTATCATCAGTTGCTCAAAAAGTGCTGGTCAGAACAGATTTAGATGACAGTAATGACAGTTTGGACAACCATTATAATCCCTAGCCCACCAGAAGATCTAGACTTCCCAAACAGCTGTCAAGTTTCAGAGAACATCTGCAGGAAAAGTGATGCTTCATGGGGTTTTGGACTCCATAAGGGTTCTGTTGACAATTTGCATGGCCACTCAGTGAATACTTCTGTGCAAATCTTTTTAACAATCTTATGGCAGCTCAATCAGTGAACACTTCTGTGAAAATCTTTTGAATAATCTTATGGCAGCTCAATCAGTGAACACTTCTGTGAAAATCTTCTGAACAATCCCATAGCAACTCAGTCAATAGACACTTCTGTACAAATCTTCTGAACAATCTTATGGCAACTCAGTCAATGAACACTTCTGTACAAATCTTCTGAACAATCTCATGGCAACTCAATCAGTGAACACTTCTGTACAAATCTTCTGAACAATCTTATGGCAACTCAATCAATGAACACTTCTGTGTAAATCTTCTGAACAATCTCATGGCAACTCAGTCAATAGACACTTCTGTACAAATCTTCTGAACAATCTCATGGCAACTCAATCAATAGACACTTCTGTACAAATCTTCTGAACGATCTTATGGCAACTCAGTCAATGAACACTTCTGTACAAATCTTCTGAACAATCTCATGGCAACTCAATCAGTGAACACTTCTGTACAAATCTTCTGAACAATCTTATGGCAACTCAATCAATGAACACTTCTGTACAAATCTTCTGAACGATCTTATGGCAACTCAGTCAATGAACACTTCTGTACAAATCTTCTGAACAATCTTATGGCAACTCAATCAATGAACACTTCTGTACAAATCTTCTGAACAATCTCATGGCAACTCAATCAGTGAACACTTCTGTACAAATCTTCTGAACAATCTTATGGCAACTCAATCAATGAACACTTCTGTACAAATCTTCTGAACAATCTCATGGCAACTCAATCAATGAACACTTCTGTACAAATCTTCTGAACAATCTTATGGCAACTCAGTCAATAGACACTTCTGTACAAATCTTCTGAACAATCTTATGGCAACTCAATCAATGAACACTTCTGTACAAATCTTCTGAACAATCTCATGGCAACTCAATCAGTGAACACTTCTGTACAAATCTTCTGAACAATCTTATGGCAACTCAGTCAATGGACGTACACACACACTCACACATGCACCCGAACACACACGTGCTCGAACACATGCACACACATGCCCACGTGCACACACATGCGTGCACGTGCGCACACACACACACACAGAAATGGCTTATGCAGCTAGTGCTTCAACAGTGATGAA